CCTCTCTCCAAACTCTCCCATATACCTCTCCTTGTTCTCTTTCAAATTCATTATCTCTTTTTGCATTATTGTTACATGTATGTATATGTATGTATGTATGTATGTGTATAAATTTTAAAGTCCTGCTTGGTACCTGGAAAGCTACTATGAGAATATGTCATGTGAGATGTGACACCCAGGTGGAAAATATAAAATTTAAATTTCTTGGGCATGCCACCTTGGCTAACAAGGTAGATTTTGACTTGGATTTAATGATGTGGGGATTCTGCAAACACTCTGAAGAGACAATGGCCATCTAGACCTCAGCCGAACTCCTGAGGACTTATTAAGGTAAAGGGTGAGCATGTAGCATCACCGAGCCTTGTTCTCAGTTAGGCCATGCTTCCGGCTTACTTAATATATTGAAACTGGAGAAATGTTTGTGTGTTTTCAACTCTACCCCAGCTTGAAAAAGGTGAATTTCACCACTCACCACACCTACTAAGTAAGCCACAGGTTTCCCAAGTGAAGGGTTGTCTCATTAGATTAGCTGCCTAGTTGCTAGGCCTTGATCCTGAGTTCACCTTCAGCTTTGTGTTTCAGGCAGGTGCAGTAGGTTTTGAGTAAATGCAAGGCCCCAGCTGCCCCAGCAGTAGGACGGGAAGAAAGAACTCAACCAATGAGCAATGCTTACGCTAATTGGGGGAGGAGTAAGAGGGTCTATAAGAAGGAGACGTGGGGGGGGGCTCAGCCGCAGACCTGCTCATCCCGTTAACCTGTTCACCGTTAAGGATGGCTCTGCCTCATGACTCCTCTACCATGGGGGCATCTGCTAGGCAAAAAATTCTTCTCTTCTCATGCTGTGTCTCTGCTCTTCTTTCCAACAGCTGCACTGGCAGCCTCCTTTTGCCTTTACCTCCCTGCCACCCACAAAGAGACAAACTGCTTCCTTCGTTCTCTGAAGCTTTCTACAGCCTATAATTCTCCCTCGTTTCTTAACTCTCTCCTGGTCTTTCAGAAAAGGCCCCTGGGAATTGCATAGCGAGAAGTCTGAATCTGCATATTCTGAAAAAAGAAAGCCAAGAAGCTTTCTTTCTTTCTTACCTGGGGGAGGGGGGCGCGTGGAGGACAGACTTACAGGCTCAAAAAAGCTCCAGGCCAGGAATTTAAAGAGCTGGGGAAGGGTACATGGGAGGGTTTGGTGGAAGGAAAGGGAAGGGAGAGGCCTGTGAGTTACATTCTCAAGAAAAAAAGCAAAACACAACCTCGGCTCCCCCCAAGTTTTTGTATGTTGGTGTGGGGGGGGGGGGAGAGGATTTGTGCACAAGAGAGGTAGGAAACTCCAGTGAGGTAGGATGTTTGTTTTCTTCCTGTTGGACTATAAAAGTAAACAAGGGCACACCACCTTTAAGGTTCAGGGGAAGTCTTTTTTTATTTTTTTATGTCTTTTATTATTATTATTATTATTATTATTATTATTATTATTATTATTAATTCAAGTTAGGGAACAGGCTTGTTTCACATGTACTTCCCCTCTCCCTCTCCCTCCCCTCACCCCCATTCTTCTTCTTCTTTTTTTTTTTTTTTAGATTTTATGTATTTATTTATTATGTATACAACATTCTACTTCCATGTATATCTGCTCACGAGAAGAGGGCACCAGATCTCATTATAGATGGTTGTGAGCCACCATGTGGTTGCTGGGAGTTGAACTCAGGACCTCTGGAAGAGCAGTCAGTGCTCTTAACCTCTGAGCCATCTCTCCATGGGATAGTTGCTTAGCCTATGCCCAGCAGGCACCACAGGGCTCAACTAATCCTTTATTTTGTTTAAACTGCTATTCCAGTCATTGATGGTTAAATGAGGGTTGAGCCTGAGATCATAAACAGAGCCTTTACACAGAATCCCATTAAGCAAGCAAAATGATCCGATGACTGACAGCTAATCAGCTGTGAAAGATAAAGGACCATCAATGTGGCTCACCTCCCATTAGTGCAGAGTTCCTTTGTAAGGGGGTGACTTGGCTGTGATCAGGACACAGGTGATATAGCTCACTGTGGATAGAGTCTCGGGACTCTGCAGTCCCTCAGCCCTTGCCACTAAAAGCTTCTAGCTCCTCAAATAAACTGACAGATAGTTTCTTATCAGCCTGGCAACCAAAGTGCTGTGGTTCTGTTTTCCTCATTGTAAATGTCAGGTTTTTTAAATACTCCATGTGCATCTGGAACCTTTATGGGAAACAAAACAGGCTTCAATCATTTTTGTGATTTACGTTTGCTGTAGTATCGTTCTATGAAGGATAGCTATAATCCTAGTACTTCAGAGTAGTTTATGAAATGGGGCCATACTTTCCCCCATTACCCTCTAAAGTACTGCTCTTTAGAACTGAATCTGAACTTTCTGGTTGAGACTTGTTAAGCCTGAGACTTGTGAGGATCAAAGACCAAGTCCACAGTTACCCAGTTAAGCAAGCTGTATTGTGGGGTGCACCAGGACTGCCCAGCTGGCTGCCTCAACCTAAATCGGGATTTGAGGGCACCCCTGCTCTACTCCAAAAGTCTTCTAGGAGAAGGAGCATTCACGGGGTGAGAAGGCATGGTAGCTATGCACTGCTTAGGATACAATGAAAAGGGAAGGAACAAAAGGCAAGGATACATGTTGAGTGAATGGGGTTGCAAGCCTTTTACATCAGATCTAGAAAACAAGAACTCTTAAATAAGGCTTCTATTTTTCGTAATTAACAAGGACTTTTAAGACTACTCCACATAGGAGTAGAGCAGCAACAGGAAACTGGTAAAGAGAGCTCCCAGCACCAGCCCCTTGGCCTTGGACTCCCAGGGCTTCTTTGGCAGCAGAGGCATCTCAGGCAACTGTTAGGGACAGTACAGACAAAACAGAAGTGTCGAGAGGTTAGTCTCAGAGAGTCTGTACAGCTGTCAGGGCTCACAACAGGGGGCTGCTTTTGCCAGCTCTTTGGACTCCCAGGAAGGATGCTGACAGGGCTGGAGCAGTTAGAGAGGAGGAAGACAGCAGGCTTAACTCAAGGAGAGGAGGCAAATGGGCAGAGAGAAGGTTCTTCTGAGCACAGTTCTAACTTTAGCTGACTAGTAAGGACACGTGTGTAACACCCTCCTTTGTAGGCCTTTTGGACTTTATAATGAATGCATTCTGAGGAACAGAAGGAGAAGAACTCTCTTAGTCCTCTTAGTGCTCCAGACCCTACTCCTAGGGAAGGCTAGAATCTTTTCAGAAGGCAGAGCCAGTCTTCCCTGTCTAATTCACCACCTTCCCTGCTGCAATTAAAACTGCTAACTCAGCTTGGCAGTGGTAGCACAAGCCTTTAATCTCAGCCCTTGGGAGGCAGAGGCAGGTGGGTCTTTCTGAGTTTGAGGCCAGTCTGGTCTACAGAGTGATTTCCAGGACAGCCAGGGCTGTTACACAGAGAAACAAACAGACAAAACCACTAACATTTTAACAGGGTGTCTTGCTGAGTTTTTGTTGTATTTGTTTGTTTGGGAGGAGTGTGGTTTGATCTGGATGCAGTGGCCTTATTCACAGGAGACAGAGATGTGAGGTTAGGTCCAAGCTTCAGAACTGGAATCCAAGAGAGTTGAAGCTGGGGATAGAGGGAGGTGTAAAATCAAGGTCTAAAACTTTCCAGTTCTCTCCCAGCTGATGCTCCAAACTCCCGAGGCTGCAGGAGGTCATACACACTGCCCGTGACCACATGTGTGGTGTGCTACCATTTGCACCTGGAGGCAGCACGGCCAGGTAGCTTCCCTGGGAAAGTTACCTAAGGTGCCCACGACTGCTTGCTGAGAGGAGCCCTCCAGGCCCACCCCCAGAAAAGGTGGCAGCACTTGCTGAACCCTCAATTAGGAAATTTGCCTCACAGAAAAGGACAGAGTGAAGCAATTGTTAGAGGAAGAAACCACACAGGAGGGAATTTTTCCTTCCCTGTAACAGTGAGAGAAGCACTGTTCATTCT